TATGTCATCACGTTGGAATGCTTTGCAGGCAGTGGAAAACATCATTTCAAAGGCACAACCACTACAAGTGACTGCACGAGCGAAAGAGGCTGTGGCCAGACATGGATACAGAGGTGATAGACATCGCAACGAAAGCGCGGCTGGAGGCAACCGATTGACCTCCCTCCAGCCAGGGGGGGGCGTGCGCAGTGCAAAAATGGATTGAGCAATCATCACAGGTCACTATCCTTTGACATGCGTGGCCCTGGTGAAACTGGTGAAAGGCCTGGGACCATGTGCAGCCACTACGACCATCGCATGGCAGGGCAAATGGCAAAAGCATTTTCCTCTGCATAAGTCCCCCGCCACCTGGTTTTTCGGTTTGGGAGTTTTATGAGCCTACGAAGTGATGTGCAATCCAGGAAAGCCCACTGGCAATGTAATGCAGTGAGGGCGGGATAGCGAGTTCTGGTAATGCAGCGCAGTTCATAAAAGCTTTAACTCGTATGGTGTGCAATGAGTACGGCAGTCTGACCTCACGGAGGCTGGCGCAGTGCACAAAGGTGAACTCCTGGATTTCCTCAATGCTTGAGTTTGAGATATCTACATGCTGAAGCAATTTGCAGTTGTCACAAGCATGTGCGCCCAGCACTTGGAAATCTCGAGTTAACACCAGTGTAGTGATTCCAGTGGAGAGCACCTCCACCAGCATACCGACCAGTTGGGTGAATTCATCAGAATTTCGAAACGCATGGAGGCAAGCTTGCAGCAAATCGCCAAAGCTGGGACCAAACCAGAGGTGTTGCTCTCTGAGGGATCCTTTGTTGTTGAGCTTGAGCTTGCTTGTTGTCTTGCTTGTTTGATCTTGGTTGATCGAGATTTGGACTTGTTTCTTGGAACTTGTCTTCTTGGATTCGTTGACGTTTGATCAACCTAGAGATCGGTTTTGAGGACAGGAGTTGAGATCTTAGTTGATGCTTGATCCTTAGTTGCTCAGAGAAAACGAAGAGAAGAGAAGAACAAGGCAGAAAGAAACAGAAGACGGCGCGAGGTGACCCAACAAGAGGTGTGAAAAGTAGCGGGTAGCACGCCTGTACAGTGTGTGGATTACCTAGTACCTGTTTTCGTTTTTCTGTACTTGGAGTTGGAGCTGGATAGGGATCTTCCTTTTTTGGATGTTTTCTCTTTGACCTCCTTAGCAGGACAAGATGGAATGTGACCAAGAGCCTTTAGAGAGGCCCTGGCTAGAGCTGTGTAGAGCTGTGTATAGTTTGGAGTAGCTTGAGAGTGTTTGGAGATTCTGAGATGCTTTCTTGTTCTTTTAACATGTTTTGGACGACTGCGAACAGTCAGACCTCTTCAGAAGAAGAGATGAAGGACTTTGATGCAGTCGAACCGACTGTGATATTTGGCTCAAGGAGCGGGATCGAAAAGGGGACGCTTGCGCGACCGTGTTTTCACAGTTTTGGATTGGTCGCGCCTTACTTTTGGCGGAAGTCTCGCGCGAAACGCTCGTTTTGGGGACTTGGCGACTCACTTGTGGAAAACGCTCGTTTTGGAGACTTGGCACCCTACTTTTGGAGGAAGTCTCGAAAGAAACGCTTGTTTTGGAGACTTGGCGCTTCACTTTTGGAGGAAGTCTCGCACGAAACGCCGGTTCTGGAGACTTGGCGCTTTACTTTTGGAGGAAGTCCTGCGCGAAACAGTCATTTTGGAGACTTGGCGCTTCACTTGTGGAGCTGGACTCAGACCTGGCCAGTTTGTGGTGCAAATGAAGCGCCGGAAAGAGCTTTTTGGAGCTGGACTTAGAAGTGGCCGTGCAAATGTAGTGCGGGAAAGAGCTTTTTGGAGCTGGACTCAGAAGTGGCCAGTTTGTAGTACAAATGTAGTACGGGAAAGAGCTTTTGGAGCTGGACTCAGAAGTGGCCAGTTTGTAGTGCAAATGTAGTGCGGGAAAGAGCCTTGACAGTGCGGACACCAGTCCCAAAGGGGCACACCAAGGCTTCAGCGCGTCAGTGAAATGTTGGAATGAAGGACAAACGGAAGGTAGTGCAGCAAGGGTCCAAAATTGACCTGCTCTTACTTTGTGGGATTGTTCACTGGCCCTTCTTTAAGATGGAGCATGAACCCACTCCTGCTCTTCCAAGCTGGCATCACAGTGTTCGGTGACACCCCTTCCAACACACCCCATGCGCTGACTTTCGTTTGTGCGTCAGGTGTCTCTGGCAAGCGCCCCAAAGAAAAGAGACCGATGCTGCCGCTGATCATCGCGACTTCTCCTAGGCTTTGTGTTGATCCCCTTGAATGACAAGAAAAACCTCAGAGTGTCATCATGTTTAGCAGTTCTCTTGTTCGACACTGCCTCTGCACAAGTCTTTTTCCCGGGAGCGTCTACGAAGGGTTCTTTGTGAAAAACATCTGTAGAACTACGTCTCATCTGCATCTTCACACAGCTGCATCTTCACATCTGTGCACCTCCATCTACATCTTTACACCTGCACATCTCACATCTTCACCTCTCGTCTTTTCTTTCTCTCTCGAGGCGGGGGCGGAGCGCCGCGAAACGCAACCCTCTGCGAGATCGTGCGCGTCGAGGGCGCGAAATGCAGGTGAGATTGCGTTTTGGCTCTGTCCGGCGCAACCCTCTGCGGAGATCGTGCACGTCGAGGGCGCGAAATGCAGGTGAGATTGCGTTTTGGATTTGGCGCGCGCAACCATCTGCGGAGATCGTGCGTGTTGAGGGCGCGAAATGCAGGTGAGATTGCGTTTTGTCCTGGTCGCGGGCAGCCCTCTGCGGAGATTGTGCGTGTCGAGGGCGCGAAATGCAGGTAAGATTGCGTTTGGGATTGGTAACGCGCAACCCTCTGCGGTCCGCTCACCAGCGACACGCCGCGTTTACACCAGCATGTTTGCGCGCTCCCTAGTGGCACGGTGCCACGCAAACGCACTTCCCACCAAGACCTCGCAAATCCGCATGGCGCTGCGACATCACGAACGTAATTCGCCACACGGTCTGCCCACATACACTGGAAGCAATCGTATAAGCAAGCACTGTCCAGCTCCGTTTCCCGTGCCACACTCGTACTACAAGCTGGCCACTTCCAAGTCCTTCTCCCTTGGCCTTGTGCGCTGATCTTCTCCCAAGAACTTCCACTATGGTTTTGACGGTGTTGGTGGTGATGGTGGTAGTAATGGTGGCGATGATGGTGGTGGTGATGATGTTGATGGTGGCGATGATGGCGGTGCTGCTGGCGATGATGGTGGTGATGGTGGTAGTAATGGTGGAGATACTGGTGGTGCTGATGATGTTGATGGCGGTGATGATGGTGGTGATGATGATGGTGATGGTGGCGGCGGCGGTGGTGGTGGTGATGTCACGAAAGGTAGCGGTTACGCTACCTGAGTTTTTCTTTTGTTGCAAAAAAAGACTTATAACCAGAGTGGAGGCCTATCTCACTGAGAAATCGCACCGACATTTCATATCAGTGGCCGGGGGGGAGGCACAAACTCGGCTGATCCAAGCACAGAAGTTCGTCTCTCCCATACAACCTCGACTTTTTATTCACGGTGTATGACTTAAGGTTTGCAGTGTGGCATTTTGCTTCCTGGACTTTTCCCAGGGTTACCTGTGATTGCTTGCTACCTTTCGTTCACCCCCTCCTCTCTCAAGTTGGTGGTGGTGATGGTGATGGTGGTGGTGGATGGTCGTGAGGTTCACAAACCACGCGCGGGCTTACAATTGAGGGTGACCACATTTGCTGCGTTTCCCACGAAATCTGCTCTTCAAGGTCTGCGCCTGCCATGAAATCTACACTTCAAGGTCCGCAGGGTACTTCGCCTGCCACGAAATTTGATGAAATTTGCACTTCAAGGTCCATCAAGTGCTGTGCTTGCTACGAAGTCTGCACATCAAGACTCACATCGCGCAGCCTTGCCAAGGCGATTTGCAGCAAGAGCGCAGGATGCCAAGACGCAGCTTTGGCTCGAAACGTCCTCCGATTTCTGAACATGAACCACATGTCCAAAACTCACGATTCACTGCACCTGCCACAAAATCAGAACACGCCGAAGACCACCACCATCTCCAAAGTACTGCCAGCCACGAAATCTGTACATCGCGCCGTAAAACCGCTCCGATCTCCTGTGCCTGTTACGAAAATCGACTTTAAACTTTAGACCACCAAAACAGGAGGGTTCCCATGCGCCTGCCACGAAAAGTGATCACCAAGTCCGGACGGCACCACCACGAGGGCGCAGTCTCGAAGAGCACCCGCTCGCGTCCAGCAGCTTGTGCGTGCGCAGTCGAGATGCACCTCGAAATACCTCGAGGTTCTGCAGGCAGATGACTGTACTGAGTAGCAGCGAATTAGCCGGACACGCCGAAGGGCGCTTGATCAGACACCGGACCTTAACTGTTGCCGTAAGAGCCTCTAGTGTCACCACACAGGTTTGGGCAAAAAAATCGGTGTTTCGCCCATTTCATTCGCGGATTCCATAAAAACTCCACCAGATGCTTGATTGGCTCTTTGAGGCGTCACGAACTGCTGCGTGAACGCAGCCGCAGTTCTCGGTACGGTCTCTTCACCCTAACCTGTTTACTGTTTTTGACTGCAACAGGGCGAGCTTCGCACCGAGTCAGATTGACCAGGCGGAAGCACGTGGAGTGGAGGTAGGTCGTTTGAGTTGAGCTTAATTCTTTAGATAGACGCTGTCATGTGCAGCCTGTTTTGCATTGAATTTGTTTGCGGCCAACCAAACAGTTTTTGCACATTGGAAACCTTGCAAGAACGATGCAAAATTGACAGTTGGGTGTGTACCAATTGCTTGAGTCTTGTGATCCGATGACCAATTAGTTAAGTTGATGGAATTTACCCTTCGTGTTCAGAGGCGAGATGTCAAAAGTGTTTGATGGTCGCTGTTTTGGTTTGGGTTCAAGGTCTGAGTCTGCGCCCCTAATTTTTAAACGATGAAATCGCATCAAACTCCTACCCAGCCTGTCCGATCCACTCTGTGGTGATGTCATGGAAATCAATTTGAACTACAAGGACTGGGGTTTCTTGCGCGGTGCCCGCGGCCGGCAGGGCGGCTGCTTCCCTGACGACGCACGTTGGTGCCTAGAAGGGGGCCAACTGGTCACTTAGGTCCTTCTTCCGTGCGATTAGCAGTGCTCGGTCGCTTCGGGGCGCCGTTCAGGATCACTGTCTCATCATCGTGGGTGCTGGCGGCGAAGCCGAAGAGCTCTTAGCCCGTAGGCGCTGGGCTGCGGGAGGGCGCTTGGCGCACTTTACGGTGAGCGAAGGCCAGGTCAAGCCGCTCGGTGAAGCCGCTGGCTCGACGTGACGTTTGAGGTGAACATGTAGAGCTCTTGATTCACATGTCGCCCCCATATGAAGAGGGATTTGTCCATTCAAATGGAGGGTTTATTCATAAAGAGTCTTGTACATGAAGGGATTGGTGAGAAAACCCTTCGACCTGGACCCGATCCTTGAGGAAAACCAGCTCCCTGGCGTCCTCAGGCCCGAAGTGTTAGATTTGTTTGGGCTCCTGGCCTAGCTCCGTTTCGAAGATGGTTAGGGTGGAGTCTAACCGTCTAACGGATGGACAGGAACCCTAGGGATAGGTCGAAAAAAGTGACCGAAGAGCCACACAGATAGTCTGTCTGGAAAGAAGACGGCGACTGTCAATGAAGGTGTACACTCAAACGTGACCCTGGACCCTCCGTTCCGTAGGGGCAGGACCCAAATCCTCTGGCGGGGTCTGCGCCCTCCAAGTCTTTGGGTTTTCACGGACTGGTCGGCCTGAGAAAACACAGAGCGATTGAAACAGTGACCAAAGGGGACTGACAGGGACGGGGAACGCACCTGAATTGGCTGTGACTCCCTGTGTTTCTTTTTTTTTTCTGTTTTTTTTTTTTTTCAAGAGCGCAACCTTTCGACCTTTCGTTGATATATTCTTTGATTTGTTTCAGAAGCCAGGGAATGAGGGCTGGTCTTATAAATAGGTTTTGCTTGCAGGGAATCTTCACCTGTATAGCTAGGTGTCCTTCTCTCGCCGGGCACCGGCGCACATCCTCCCGGTTGGTCCGCTGTGAGCGCACATCCTCGCGGTGCTCGTGGCGCCGGAGCGGTTTCTGGGGGGTCCAGGAACCACAAGGGCAATAGCGATGGCCTCCAACCTACTAGCTTCTTGTTGCTAGCAATGGCCTCCACCCTAGTAGCGATGGCTTTCAACCTAATAGCGTCCTTGCTACTAGGGATGGCCTCCAAGAGTGAACCGCGAGTCACAGTGAAGTTGGGTGGTGTGAATGTGATGTGACAAGGGCCACCTCGACTTCCTCCAATAGCACCTTTTGAACTGGCTTTGTACCAAATGTCTTGGAAAAAGGACCCGTGAAATTGGAGTCACGGCACGACGCCGAATGACCTTTGTAGCTCTATCTGTTTGGTTCTTGCAGGAATGAGTCACTGGTCAACAACAGAATCTATCAGACCCATGGACTCATTTTGGAATTCGGATTTCGTCATCCCTACGGGCCCTGCCATCCACGTAACCATGTTTTCGACAACGAACGTCCCATGCTGCCCCAGGTTCGCGGGAGCTGCGGAGGAGGTGATTTTTGCATGGCAGCCGTTGACGTCGATGGCGAAGCCCTCCATGCTGGGCGCGAAGCTGGGACCCTCTTTTAAGACCTATTGGACCAAATCAGGCAGGAAGCAAGCTGTTTCGATTCTGCCGCGCCACGTGGTGTTCAGGAAAGTCAGACTGAGGAGGAGGTGTGGAGAATGGGGCAAGGCAAAGAAGTTGGTTTTATCAAGGATTCTGGCGTGTGTTTCAGTCTTCCAAGGGTTTTCATGACGGGTTCAGATGATGACAGATGTGAAGATCGACGGGCAGGTCGGTCGACGTTTCTATGACAAGATTGTGACTCTTTTTACAGGTCCAGTCTAACCATCCTACACAGAATCCCGGCCACGATGTCTATCCCTCGCGCCTCAGACCGGGCTGCACTCCCTGAAATCATCATAATCATGGCTTTATGGTTTAGTTTCGTTCATGGCACCACCTGTTTGGTCTTCAGAACACTCATGGCCCTCCAAGCATCGGGGGAGCGTCGTCCTTCAGGGAATCCTTCTTCGGACCTAACTGGTGCGCCCGGATCCTCGCGGCGAGCGTGGAGCGTCTCGCAGGTCCGGATTGCATCGCGCTGGAGCCGGGGCAAACGCTCGAGATCTTCACCAAGGATGAGCAGATGAGGCCCGCCCTGCGCGTGGGACAGCGGATCGCTGCGTGGACAGCGGGGAGTTTTGAGGCCTTCGTATGGTCCGAGCCGCGGCGGCGAAACGGGAGGTAATCCTTTGAAGGTCGGTGGATCATGGATCATGGGTGCGAGCTGAAGTCCATATTCCAGAATGGTTTCTTTCAGAGATGCATATTGTTTGAGCGCATTTGATGTCTTGGCAGCATCATGTTTTTGAGAGGTCTGAGAGTTCATTGTGATGTTGTTGACCAAACATGAAGCGGTGTCTTGAGAGGAAGAGGACATTCTGCTACAGCTAAGTTAGATGAGTTGGATGAGTTTCACAGCAGAAAGAAACCACATGACAAATCTAATGTTGACTGTTGATTGATGACACCCCTCCTGGAGATATACAATCATTCTGGATCCGTGGTCTTTTGTGAATCAACCGTCTACATTATCACCTATGGCACACCACTTCAGACCTCAGTCGTCAGTGGCGGACACACCAAGCCAGACCCAGCGACGGTGGGATGGATGGCGAAAACGGTGGGATACGAAAGACGGTGGATGAACTGAAGATTGGTGGCCATGAGTCTTAGAAGTGATCTATCATGTGTACATCTAGTCATCTAGTCGTTACATTATACTATATATAGTGGTGGGTGTTTTTTTTTCTTTTTTCTTTTCTTTTAAACACCTTTCATCCTTTTCTTGGATCGCACACGTGTGGTTAGCCATACCACTCGAACTCCTTTACTCCTTATTTTCTAAGTGGGAAGTGATCAGAGCCCCAACTTTTGAAGCAAAGAAGCAATCATTCGCGCCCACCAAAGGCTGGTGCGTTTGGTCACAGCAGAGGGCCAAGTGCTGCTGGAGATGTCCGGCGAGGTCGTTGTGGAGCCCGATGAGCACACCGCCCAGAGCTTTCAGGCGGTCGCGGTGCGTCGCGGTGCGTCGCGGTGCCAAACGGGGAGAGCAGTGAGGCAGGGGGCGACGACCAGATGTAGACCCCTTTCTTTTATGTGGCGAAGTGGATTTGGAGGCCGGAGGGAGGCGAGGCGCAGGACCTAGTCTTGGAGGTTCAGGTGGTGTGAGCAAGGTTGCTGGGACCTTTAGTTGGGAATCCGAAGGACCCCAATCCAGCAGATAGCTGTTTGTTCATTAGGTATGTTTGGCTTTGAGGAGCATGTAGGATGTCTCATAAGAATTCAAAAGTATTGATTATTGAGTCCAATTCCAAAACATCTCCAAGGTGTCAAGGTTCTCACGTCTTCTTGAGTGCTTTCATTCGGGATGTCGCAGAGCTGGCTTCTGGCGCGCTGTTTGCAAGTTGCAAGGGCGACTCGTGTTTTCTGAAGCGCAGTCTTCGTCGAGGCCATCGCTACTAGGTTGGAGGCCATCTAATCACTGTCGGTTCATTGGGGTAGAATGCCTTCAACACACCTAGACACGTGCACGAGACACCCCGAAGAGATCCGAAGTCCAAGGATGATATGGCCTGAGGCACTCTGAGCTGCTTCAACCAGGATCCCAGCGCCTCCAAATACACCTGAAAAGCCCCGATTCGATCCTCTGAAGCCTCTTTCAAAAGCCCCTCAAACCAAACCCCAGCTCTAAGGACCTGGAAGACTTACTGATTATATAGTTGGGGTGCTAGAAAAGGGGGCGGTCCGGTCTCTTGGTGATATCAATCTTCCAGTCAGCTGCAGGTCGACGTCGAGGACCCTGAGCTCCAAGCCTTTGGCACCTACTCGAGATGGGGAGTCATTTGCATCTCGGAACCAACACCCGTCGCAGGGCGCGAAAGAAAACTGCGAGGGTCGGTGGGGCCAAGGTCGACGCGAAGGAAAGAGGGTGTGCAGGGGATACTGTTTGTACCTGGAGGAGGGGATCTGTTGTTTTTTCGCGTCTAAAAGTCCTCGAGCAAGCGATTCACCAGCCTTTTAGGTGAACTGGCCATAGAGGGAAATCTAGAATGGTGGCCAATGGGATGCAGATCCTTAGCGCAGCACCGCCTCCTTAGGATCGCTTGGTCGGCGAAAAGTAGCAATGAGGCACAGCTCTTCACAGAAGATGAAGCACTGTTCACGTTTTGCCCTGTTCGTTGTCCCGAATCTTCTTGTTCCCTCCCAAGGTCTCTCGTCGGACCGGGTCGGGTCAGAGTCCAGACACCTTTTCAGTCTTGTGCTTTTCTGAGCGCTTTTTTAAATCTAGACTATCAGACTAGTGGAGCATCATGCACATCACGGGTTCTTGCACGCTTTGCCCACTGCTCCAACTGAACGAAGAGTCTTCCGCTCGGCTTGCTCGGCCACTCAGATGCTTAAGACTCATCGCTAGTAGTAACAGGTGCATCGCTTCTAGTAACAATTGCCTTACTAGTAGAAACAAGAAGCTATTAGAAACAAGTGCCTTACTACTAGGAGCAAGAAG